GTCACGCAGGCTACACCAATGGTCGCTGGTGCTGCTGTAGCTGCAGCTGCTATGGCTGGTAGATATGGTATACTGGCTTGGCAAGCCTTCAAGGCGAGGCCACGCATGCCTAGAATGCGTAAGTTTTATGAAGGTGGTTTCCAAGGTTCAATGACACGGCGCGAAGCTGCTCTGATTCTTGGAGTTAGGTGTGTCTCGCTTTCTTTCTTCATCTTTATGTTTTGCTCCTGAAAATTGAAATGGTCCTGAGATTCGTAAAGGCTGGTTATACCCTTCTATAGTTAGGTGAAGAACCCTTTTATGTTCTTCGAGTTTGTGCGGTCTATAGTAAATAAATACGACATAGGCAGTAGTTACCGTCTTATCGAAAATCGCTCGTCTGATCATGTTAATGTTTTTGAATCCCTTTTTTGCGGTTAGTTGCTTAGGACATTAGGAGATTTTGTAATTGTTCTCGGGTGACTTGACTGAGTTTGTGTGTGTGCGGTGTTTTACGTAACAGGGAGAGTGTTGTGGCGGAGAAGGTGAAGGAAGCTCACCGGAGAGTGATGGTTGCAAATCACCCGGACGCTGGAGGCAGTCACTATCTTGCTTCAAAGATCAATGAAGCTAAAGATATGATGCTCGGGAAATCCAACAACACCGGTTCTGCCTTTTGAATTATAATGAGTTTGATGATACAAACCCAAACACAAGTATGAAACTTTCATTTGGGTTTTTGTTTTGAATGTGCTAAGATTTCGTGATGTATATCATTTTCTTTAAAAAGACTCGGAGAGTTCCAAAACAGTTTGCGAGAAACAAAGCAATAACATAGAGATAAAAAAAAACACTCTAACTAGAATCAATGCTCGATTGTAGCCGAGTGCAAGAAGAAATCAGGACGAGTTTCACATTCATGGCTCGAAAACAAAAGCTTTGGCGATTCTATGTTTCCCCAAACCTCTGCTAAATCGCGCCTTTCAACTGAGAATTTGGCGCACCAAATCTCCATTTTACGATCGAAATCAAACACTAAACACCACCAAACTGATAATCTTCTTCTTCCTCCATTGTCGTCAGAATTTGCCAACGAAATGAACACAGCTCTGGTTGGAAATCTAAGTCCCTTAATCTCTCTCCACGCCGATTTTTCCTTGAGATCACACCACATTACTTTCCCGCGTATAGTCGATGTTTTGCACATTATGTTCTCTTTTAGTACCAAGCAAAACTTTGTGCCAACCTTAGAACTAGAAGCATCGATTTTCAAGTCACTAGGCACCAAAGAACTTGAGAATGGCTTCCAAGTTTGAGTCTTTGCATCATAAATCTCTCCCTGATCCTCGGCATTACCGGATTCGCAACCTCCTGCTACGTAGATCTTCCCTTCAAATACACCAGCGGCTGAATTACCTCGAGGTACAAGCATTTCTTGGAGTTTACGCCATTGATGAGACCGACAATCGAGGAGAAACACTTCCTTGCTTCTCAGGCCGTTGATAAAGCCGCCTGAGCCCTTTGGGACAAGAGTTGGTGGTTTTTGGATATTGATAAGGAAACAAAGGGATTGGTATCGAACTAGGTTTTGGAATTTGGCGAAATGTGAACCATTTAGGGTTAGGGTTATTATTAAAGCAGACATAGAAGCAGCTCTCTGTTATTCCGATAAGTGATCGTGTTGCTTCGAGCTCAGGTGAAGCGATGAGTGATCGGAAACTTTTGGAGACGAGTGAGAGAGTTGGGCGATGGGTTCTAGAGATACGAGCTAAAACGTTGAGAGTGATGTCGTATGGTAACGATGAAAACGACGTCGTTGGAGGAAACTCTGATGAG